CGACTCTGCCAAACTTCTAGAATGAAGGATTTTTTACTGCTTTTTGCATTTCCTCATTATCCAAATCTTTCTTGACTTCATACAGCCCAATTTCATTGAGTTGTCCACTCAACCAATCCTGAGCATTCTAGGAACTGTGTGCTAGCAGCCAGAGAGCACTGAACAGATCCATCATCTCATTCTTCCATCCAAATGTCCCTTTCTTGGCAACTTGTCTACCATAAGCCAGCTCAGCCCCTTTCCACCTTACTTCGGAGTAACTGCAAACTCTGAGGTGTTCCTTGTTCTTCCTGTTTAATTGATTCTTTCACATCATTCACCCTAGTGCATAGCTTTGATTATTCAACTCTTCTCATCTTTCCTCTTAGCCAGTGAATTAGATCCAAACTCTCTATCTAGTTATTCAGAGCCCTTTTGAGATGGTTCTAACCTATCCTCCTCCTTTCTAGTCTATAATCATGTCTTGACTACCAGTCTCTCCACGGCAACCTACTCCCTCTTACCCTATGCCTGGCTCCATCCCTTTTCACCTTAAGATCAGTTTAAGGCCCTCAGCATTCACAACAGTCATTTCATTTCAACTCCCTTTGCTCTCGGAAAGATCCTCCTGTTAAAATTAATGAATTTGTACTGTTGTTGAGGGGATACCTTTTGCTACACTCTTCAATTCTGCAAGAAATAGAGTATGGGCCTTTTCCAAAGGAGAGGAGTTTCACTTATGTTTTTCGTTTGTTGATTTCTTTGATTGTATTAACAGTAGAGATTTTAATGGCCAGGCATGGTGCCTCATGCCTGTAATCCCAGCACTTTGGGAGGCCAAGGAAGGAGGATTGCTTGAGTCCAGGAGTTCGAAATCAGTCTGGGCAACATAGTAAGCCCCTATCTCTACAAAGACTTTTTTTTCAAAAATTAGCCAGGTATAGTGGCACAAACCTGTAGTCCCAGATACTTGGGAGACTGAGATGGGAGAACCACTTGAGCCCCAGAGTTCAAGGCTGCAGTGAGCTGTGATTGCACCACTGTACTTTAGGCTGGGCAACAGAGTAAGACCCCATCTCTAAAAAAAATTTTAAACAGTAAAAATGTTATATCCCCACTTCTAGCATAATGCTTCTCTACAGCAGCAGCTCCACAATTAACGTTGTTTCCTTATTCGTTTACTTATTTATGCACTGTGATTTGATGAGCAAATCTACCCACAGAAGTACCAATCAGTCAGCCTACTATTAAAATGTTCTCTCTCTCTCTCTGTCTGTTTCTCTGTTTCTCTCTCTCTCTCTCTTACTTCCTGTACTTAAAACTTGGGACCTGGCTGCATGTTGGAACCATCAAGAGACCTTTAAAAAAGCAAGCCCAGGCTTCACCCAGAACAATCAAATCAGAATCTCTAGAGGTAACATTAAGACATCAGGATTTTTTTTTTTTTTTTGAGTTGGAGTCTAACTTTGTTGCCCAGGCTGGAGTACAGTGGTTCACTCACGGCCACCCCAGCATCCTCCCACTGGGCTCAGGCGATCCTTCCGTATCAGCCTTCTAAGTAGCCGGAACTACAGGTGCGCTCTACCACACCCAGCTAATTTATTTATTGTAGAGACCAAGTCTCACTAAGTTGCCCAGGCTGGTCTTGAACCCCTGGGCTCAGGCAATTCTCTCGCCTCGGCCGCCCAAAGTGCTGGGATTTACAGGCTTGAGCCACTGCGCCCGGCCAAGGCATCAAGATTTTTAAAAATCATCCCAGGAGACGACAGTAAATTAGGAACCACTGCAGATGACACCCCCCATTTTACAGAAGAGGAAAGGAAGGCCCTACGAGGTCACCTGATTACCAAGGACACAAAGTTAGTTCCTAACAAAGGCAGGATTGGGTGAAGACCTCAGGAAATCTTTCTATTGTCCTTTCATCTACACAACGCAGCCTGAAGCCCATGTCTAGGCTAGCTGAAGACCCCTTTTTTTTTTTTTCCAGTCGGAGTCTCACTGTCGCCCAGACTGGAG